AAATATCAGTATCTGCTGTAGAAAACGACTCGTTTGCTTTTTACTAGACACTTGATCAGTTTTTTATGAACATATATTTCCCCTCGTACTCCGAACCTCTTGTCCTCCAGATCCTCTTTCGTGACTACAAACTTCGTAGCTATTCGCTAAACGCTGTCAGCTACCACTTTCTGGAAGAACAGAAGGAGGATGTCCAGCACAACGTGATCTCTGATCTCCAGCGGGGCAATGCTTTGACTCGGCGTCGGTTGGCCGTCTACTGCCTCAAAGACGCCTACCTTCCACTACGGCTGCTTGATAAACTTATGTGCATCGTTAACCACGTCGAGATGGCGCGAGTAACTGGGGTGCCCATAACGTATCTTTTGACTCGGGGACAGCAGATAAAAGTGAATAGTCCTTTTTGTTTCTCTTACCTAAATTCAGATACGCATTTTAACTAGACAGCCTATTACTTTCAAAATAGTTTGTAATTACTTTTGAATAAGAGTTCCAGTCACCCATTATGATATGAATAGGCCTCAGGTTTCCTATGAATCTTTGTAATCCATAAGATGGGGGTCTATCTCTGAAATAGATGGGGCTTGTTCTATACTACGTGATATAACATTGGATGTCTCGAGACGAAGAGATAAAAGACGAAAGTCACATCACCAAGTGTACTATTTAGAACCAGCTGAATTGCAGTATTGAGCTGAGAATAGAAAATTAATTATTGAAGGTGGTGCGTAATAAAAGGGTCAAAACTCCATGGGTTACAATGGAGCGGAAAACGAACAGGAAGAAAACGTGACCTGCCTAGATTGCGTGTCAGCTACTTGAAATATCCTTGCGTAGTTTTGCATGTCACCTAATGAGCTCAAAAGATAGGCACGATACCGTGTCAAGCTTTGATTGGTCATACTCTCACTTGATCTCTTTGTCAAAAGCTGTTGAGCCATGCCTATGTACGTGATATAATAAAATTTAACATTGAATGGGAAAGTGTAGAGATAGATAACTACAGAAATTTATAGAAGTGGGTCTTGAGAAATAGCGCCAGGAGTTAAATGCATACAGGGACTGGACCTGAGTGAAATCGGTCAACCTGAAAAGAAGGAACGGATCTACGAGGCAATGAAAGGATCCGGGTTGGAGGGCCCGAGTGGGATAAGCTCATCGAAAGAGAGGGGTCGG